CCCCAAAACCCCAAAACCCCAAAACCCCTCAAGTCGAAATAATTTGTAACAAATTTGATAATTAATATAATTATTATTAAATATGAGTAATTCTGCTAATTAAGCAAAAGGTACAATTTTCCAGGAGTGGAAAAATCTTTAGGATTAAGACTCAATCAAGATCCACGAAAACAAGAGAGAACTTGAGAAGATTGAGTACAAGGGTCAACAAAAGATTAGAAAAGCTGTTGAAGTGAGATCATTCCTGATTAAGCGCAGAGTTACCAGTGGGTTTATTGACAGACAAAAGATCAAGCCATTTGGTATAGGAAACTCTGAAGATGAAGTTAGATAGAATGTCAACCTCACCTCTATTCAAAGAGAAAACGTATGGCATCCTTACTATGAAATCAAAGTTGAAGAAGAAGACTTCAAGGAAAAGATTCAAGCCAAGCAAAAGGAAAAGAAAGAACAGGAGGGAAACCTAGAGATAAAGGAACTAGAAAAGAAAATTTAGGCTTTAGAGGAGAAAGAGAGACAAGAACAGTAGGATCAGTTTGAGTTGAGCCAAGGCGGCCCTAAGAAGAAGCTTTTCGACTTCGCAGCTATTTAGCGATAAAAGAAGCAAGACGAAATTCAGGAGATGTCAATTCCTCAGGAGGACCCATACACAGTCAAGCTGAAGAATTTGTCAAGTGATATCACTGAAGAAGATATTGAAAGGGTTATGGCTAGGTTCGGTAATGTTATTAAGACCAAGATACCCAAGGAGGAACTCAAGAATGGAAGATTCAGATCATACGGATTCGCTTATGTCTCTTTTGATACTATTGAGTCTGCTCAACTGGCTCTAGCAGAAAAAGAAGTAAATGTTGAATACGCCACTCTAGATATTGAAGTAGCTTTGAAAAAAGTGATGCAGCCAAGAGACTAAGTTAAACTGCCTTCAGAATTTGATCAGCTGAAGAGAAACAAAGTATGACTAAAGTGAAGATCATCGACTAATAATGTTATTGTTAGGTTGTGTGATGCTTATGCAATAATTAACATTATCATACACGGTACTTTCTTAATTATTCATTATCCATATATATTGCAAACACGCCATATGTCTGCATTGGGGTTTTGGGGTTTTGGGGTTTTGGGG